GGGGGGAGGGGGGAGGGGTACAGAAATATCACTGTAGTTGAATCAGATGTAATATGTATCCAATAAGATATTGGATACCACATGGCAATACTAGAGTATATTTTACAATATTTCACTAATATAGTAAAAACGGAAAATCTATTGTGCCAGAAAGACATGATACTAGAAGAGCTTTGACCAATCAAAACCCCCATAAATTTTGACAAATATCACCAGATTGGTTACCACTTTTACGATACCAGTTGATTAGTTACAAGTTTTTCCAGTATCGTAATCAAATGCTAGTAAAAAGAATGGGAAAATACCCAACTACTTCGATGTAAAATTTTGACATGTTTTTGTCAATCATTTGCTGTTTGAAATTGTCCCCTGGGGCTTCTTCTTTTCTATAATGCTAGTAAAACTCCTGGATACTATTGATAAAAGAAAAAAAAAAAAAAAAAAAAGAATGGGAAAATTATAGATAAGTACCCTGTACTTTGGGGGTAGTAACACTTAAGGGCTCAACTTTCAAGTGCAACAACCAAGGGCCTGAACTTTAAAAAATCAACACTTAAATCCACCTGCTAGCTTTCCATCAATTATCTGCAGCACATGATGTCATCAAGGATGGCAATTTCTACCCTACTCAGTGGCTACCTGCCCGAACGGGGTGGGCTTTTTCTGCTTGAAGGATGGATTTTAGGATGCGGATGGGTTTTGGGATTCTACAACCCCTACGGTTACGGGTAGGGTACAGAATTAGGCTAAACCCAACCCTCCTCGACCCACATATTGTTGGAAAGCATATGAACTTTATGTATTAGGTGTTGAACTTAATAATATTTTGAATTTTATGTGAAGGGTAATTGATAATTTATGTGTTTTTTACATGTCTTAATCAAATAATTGGAAACTTTGCTGCTTCATTATGTTATTTTATTTATTTATTGCTTACATATAACAAGAAATAATAGGAAATTAGATGTGGGTTCTAAACCCAACCAGTTCTACCCTTGAATGTGGGGAGGGTAGGGTCGGGGAGGGTATGGATTCTCAAAATCCAACCTACTACGAGTTTTGGGACAGGTACGACTGTATGCGTTGGGAGATTCAGGGAGGTGGTTAGGGTCTAGAATTTACAAAACCCTCCCTGAACTTGCCCTATTGCCATCCCTAGATATCATGGGTGCCTTGAAAAATTTCAAAATCCCAAAACTACTCTTTACATATTTTATAGGATAGTTTCACGAGAGACTTTTTTGAGTTTTACTAGACTGACCTTGCATCAGAATCCGACCATTCCCCCAAACCAGTTCAACAAATTCATTATCAGGACTGCATAAAAGGAATTTAAAATGGGCAGTTTGGTAATTTTACCATTCACTGCAATGTTGGTTAACGGTGCTGGACTTGAGTGTTGAATTTTGAAAATTCAGGGTACTTGGTTATCGCACTATAAAGTTGAGGCTCTTAGGTGTCACTACCCCCAAATTACAAAGCACCTATTTGTAATTTTCCCAAAAAGAAAAGAAAATTATTCTGATTGCAGAAAAACAATCGGATAAATCTAAAGGTTCCTTGGCAAGACCCAAGTTCCAAATATCCATTTTACTTCCTGTTAGTAGCACATTTATTCTAAATGTGAAAAACCTAAAATCCTCTTCCAGGAAACATATGGAACCTTACAAATATTAATTCATTAAGAGAAGAGTCCAATAGTCATCCACATAGAAGTTCATCCAAACTTGCTTTCATCAATTGCCAGCGTCATTTTCCAAAGCTACTTTGGTAAGACCAAACAAGATCAATTAAGATGACAGAGTAGCATACATGTGAATAATACTATCACAATTCCCAAAGCACAATCATCCCATACAATGTTAAAACTCTAAAGGTTCCTTTCCCTATCGAGCTTATCCATATGTTCTTTAATTACTAAAATAAGTTGAATCACCTATTAATTCAAGGTCAATTTCCGTTTCTTATCTATACAGAGATTGTTGTCATCCCTTTTTAACATTTTAGCTAGAAATGAATCCGGAAACTCCCGACAAGGAACTAGGACCAGACAATCCGATTTCATAACCGCAATCCACTTGCACTTATCATTTGTAACCATTCCATTACAGTTTAAACACTTATAAGGTCCAAAATTTTCAACAAAAGACAAACCTCCACTGGTCCTGGGATGAAGGGCACTTATCGGGAAGCCCTTGTCTGGGAAATTGGAGAGGAGAGGGGGAGTGTTGAGATCAGTCTCCATCGGAAGCAATCGATACCGAGGTGCACTAACCCTGTAAATCCATAAAAATGACAATATAATAGAATCAAAAATTCCAAACAAAACTCAGAACAACGGGTGTGTGTGTGTGTGTGAGAGAGAGAGAGAGAAGGGGTTTTTACGTTTGAGAAGAAGGAACAAGAGCGGAATCGGAGGCATGGAAAGCTTTGTCAGTGGGAACTGGAAGAGTTCCGCAGAGGAACCCAACGGGCTTGTGACTGACGACCTCCAACTTGCCAATGCACTGGAGGTCGCCGGAGCCATCAGAGCCGAAGCCCTCCATGGTTTCTTCTCTTAACAAAGTAGCGCCAGCACCTTCACCGGGTTTTATCGTATTCTTCTTAATAGTTGAATTCGGTTATGAAATTGCTTCACCAATTCGCTAATGGTCCTGTGTTCTCTGCGACGAGAAGGTTCTCGTCCTTTCGAGTTTTGAGATTTACATTTAGGCTGCGTTTGGTTGAAGTGCAATTTTATTTGCACCAGTACAGATGCATGGAAATGCAAATTCTTATTTAATTTTGTATTATATTTTATTTTATTCTGTTCAATGTCTTATTTTACTTAATTTGTATCGTAATAAAATAAAATAAACTAAAATTTAAAATAAAAATAAGTTGGAATTTACACTCAAATCATTTGTATTGTCATAATTTTGCATCAGTATAAATATATTTATATTGCAACCAAACACTGCCTTATGAACTATTGATTATTGAGTATTAACGATTTAAGATTAAGTATTTATTATTATTAACAAAAAAAACATAAATATTAGCCCGAAAATGGAACCGCTTTTTTCCTCCGCCTCTCTCGGGTCAATGGGTGAACCATTTGGATCAAACGGGTTAAAATAGTTGAACTCAATTTAAAATTATATATTATATTGCATCTTTGACCACTAGATAGGAATATTGTATTAGATTAAGAAGATACATTGGTCATAAATACGTAATGTTATTATAGGAAAAAGTGATAAAAGGTGACCGAGAAAGAAGAATGGAAATGGGGTTGGTTTTAGGTGGGGGCACCCCCTCCCCATTCCATAGACAAAATCCCCTACCCTACTCCCACCCATCTAATGACAAGACGGGTTCAAGGTGAGACACCCCCTCCTTGTCAAGAATGGAAAATTTTAGAATTTTCCTTATCCCAAGTAGCCACCTAAATATACATCGATTTTGGGGGTATTTTAGAAATGGAATTATGGGATCATGAGGATTTAGGAATTTGAGAAAAAACTCAAGGATACTTTAAAAATTAATTATAAACCTAGGGGTATTTTAATAATTCATCATCAAGTTTCGACAAATTTAGGGAATTATATGCATATGATTAAGGGCAAAAAATCCCCCTCATCCTTTGGGAAAATGAGGCGAGGTGAGCAAGACCCTGGATTAATGGGAAAAATTGCCATCCCTAGAAAAAAAGAAAAATAAATAAAAGGGAGTGTGGTTCTCTCTCTCTCTCTTTTTTTTTTGTTATTTGTTATTTTAGTGTTTAAAAAATAGTTTCATTTTTTACTAATGAGGTTGGTATTATTGGATCATCTCAATTTGCACACTTAGGTACAAGGGACATTGCCTATCATGCTTCGACTCTAAGTAACACTACTTATTTTTGAATAGTAGATTCAAGTGTCGTTGACCATATGACCAACTTATCCTCTTTATTCACCTCTTATCATTTGTCCTTTGGCAAAGACAAAGTTCATATTAATGACTTTCTTGCCTTTATTTCTAGCAAGGGAGACATCAAGGAGTCTAATGTCATCACCCCCTCTTCAATACTTCATGTTCTCAAACTAAGTACTAATCTACATTTATCTAGTAATATTACCAAAAATCAAAATTGTTTAATTAGTAACTTTTTTTCCTAACCGTTATATTCACCAAGATTTAGTGATAATGAAGGTGATTTGGATTGGTCATTAGGTAAAAAAAAAAAGAAAAAGAAAAAAAAAACAATTTAGTTGAATCATAAGATGTGTGTAGGGGGTGGTGGGCCTCATGAAGACAAAGCCATATACCAATTGTTTATAGGGAAGATTGTCTATTTTTGTCTAAAAAGTCCTAAAACCTTCTATGATATCAATGTTTTTAATTAGTACTATTGCCTACTTGAATAGGTGTCTAGACAAAGGTATACTCTTTAAGAATAATGGTTATATGAAGATAGAAGTGTACACTGATGCTAATAGTCACTTAAGTATGCACTTTAGAGGATTGTATTGACCCTATGTATTTTGATGATAATAAATTCATTGATGGTACTAATGTTGTGCTAAACTTGCAATTGATTAAGCTTATTTTACTAAGCTATAATTTGTTAATCACTCCATAAAGAAGAAAATGGAAGAATTGCTTATGAATAGCTAAACATCATCATCATTCTCTCTAATGAAGAAGGAATCTCCAAAAAAGAAAAATGACCAAGAAGCAAATGAACAAAAGAGAAACTAAAGAAAACATGCTACATCATCTCAAGAAGAAGAAGCATCAAGTCCCATGAGTCTAAGGACCTATTCATTTCCTCTTAGATCTTATCTTTTAAGAAGAATCTTTTAACTTTAAGAGAAAAATGGTTGTTCATTTACTCTTATCTCTTATCTCTTAAAGTACAATCATACAACTTTTTATTTTCCAATAATACCCCCAAAAAGACAAACAAAAACTCTCATATATGGGGTCAAAATGGATATTTGATAATTTTTAGAATTTAAAATTCAGAACAACATTATCTACATTCAGAGTTCAGAGAAAATAAAAGTTCGCCAATACCAATATACCTCTTAATGTAATTATTGCACTTTCAGATGTCAGACTTCATAGCAAATGAACAAGCCCTAAGTGTATTATCATTAGATTCTTGATGTAACAATTTTGCTAGTGATGCACAACACATTAAGCTCAACAACACTATACTAAGTTAAGCTAACTTTAGATACCAATGGTTAGATTAGGTTTGCATGGTTCCTATGCTTTTCCTAGTTTTTAAACTAAAATTAAAATGTTGAAAATCACATTTGAAAGCTAAGGGAATGTTTTCCAAACCGTTGGACCAAAATTTCTAAAGTTTCTGATGTTGGAACTGTTAATAATTGACTACTGATTTTCCTATAGCCGACTACCCTTGACAGCTGAGGGTAGTGTAAACCTATAGTCGATTACCCTTAACAACTGAGGCATATAAATGCCCAAACATTATTCATAAAAATTAAAGCTTTAATCAACCACCACACTCCAGCCATTCAATCATATAAGTAATTAAAAAATTATAGCAAATATAAAAGAATTATTCAGATCATATGCCTAAAAATACGAGAGAATCTAATTCTCCAAAATCGCTTAGAACAATTCTAGCGATTCAAGCAAAAGCGATTTACTAATATATGGGAAAAATAATCTGATTAATTAGGCTGATAAACCTGACCTAAATCTTGAAGATTCAAACCCTAATTTTCCAATACCACTAAAGAAATGATTATAGTTCAAAACCTTTATGACATGCTGAATTCAAAATCCAGCAAATCAGTTTAAGGTTTTCAAATCGAAATTCACCCAAGATTGTTGGATCAACCTCCAAAATTTTCATTACGATTTTTTAGACCTAAAGAAGAAAATAAAAATTCTCATATCTAAAATTTTGATAATCCACAAGTGCATATTGTCCAAGTGGTAGTTCACCCTATCACAATCTCATTGGTACAATGTTGGAGACAAAGATGGCGCATCTCCAAGATTGCTCCTTGATCCCTGATGAACCAACAACGTTTTACCTCTGAATAAACTCTGAAAGATGGTCAATTTATGCCTTGATCTTCACTAAGAACAAGACTGAATGTTTTCCAAGATTGGGAGACAAAACCCTAATGGCAATCTTACATTTTCCCTCTTATTGTTGTTGAGCTGTTTTCTCACAAATTCTCTCAAAATAATAGAATGCAAGAAGGTGCATGATCTGGTCAATCCAAAGGTTTATATAAGCCTTAGAATCCAGTAAATGTTGCCCAAACCCTCTCCTAATCTGATTAGGAAAGTCCCAATCTAATTGGAATTTCTAATTCAGCTAGGACTTTGACTGGTCAATACATGTTAATTATGACTGCAACAAGAACTCTTTCTAATTAGACTTTAACCATCATTAGGTTACTTCTAAAACTTGTTGGGAATTAGGATAAGTGAGAAAAGCTATCCATTTGGCATAGAACCCACAAGATCTCAGCCAAATCAATAATGACAGAGTGACGATTCACGGTCCACACTTCACTTAAACACATTGGCCAAATTCAACTTGTTCATACAAGTGAATTCGCTCAAGTATTTTGGTCCCAACAATTGTCCCATTAAGCCTTATATTTAAACTTGGATCTCAGCCACCCTATGATTCCAAGACTATTAATTTAGACTAAGTTAATGAGCTCCAGGTATTTAAGGTCTAAGAAGTCACTTGCATAAAATCTCCTAGCCAATAATAGTATAACACTATAGATAGGAAAGAACCTTTTCTTAAACTTCTAAATGTAGTGACACACCCTCTATTCATAATGCATCCCATAATTAAAATCATTTGCAAACTTATCAAAATAATTATTTATAAATATGAATACATTTCATAAAATGATTTCAAAATATGTTTAAATCCAACAATGAGAACATAATTGGGATATTCTCTTTGTTAAACAAAGTGGTTAATCCTATCACGACAATCACTCACTAAAGAATCTTTTCAATCAGCTACAACATTCCCAAGTATTTAACCCTAAAAGGATTTCACTAGTTGACATATTAAAAGCAAATCAGTCCACCACCCAACATATATCATTATCAAGCCAGGGGATTAAATACAACTTTTCAGTTTTACCCATCTATCTCCAAGATCCAGGGTTAAACTAAAAATATTCCCATTCATTATTTCTCAAATACCCAATCCTTGTACCTTAGGTCCAACCTAAGGAATTGAGACAGACTACTCCACCATTTGGTAGCACAAGAATGTCAGCCTTGACAAGATAAACTCCCCAATTTATCAATCGGCCGAAACTCCCCAAGTTTACCAATTATCCAAGAACATTTTAAGCTAACATAACTCTCATAAATATCTGACTTAATGGGTATTACATAAAAACATACCATACACACATGAAATAATAACAAATATCAATTTACAACACTTCTATTGGAGCTGAGATGATACACTATCTAACAATCAGCTCGAACGTTCTCCAATCAATCTATTGCATAGTATGTTGTTTAGGCCACTAATGAGGCTACAAGCCTTCTATAAGTACTTGGCCCTCGATGGATCCTGAATTTCATAATCATCATTGATCTGGTTGACAATGAGTTGGAAGTCACTAAAAGCTTCTAACTTGTCCACTCTAAGCTCCTTGGTAAAACTAATTGCAACAATAAGGACGTCACACT